CTGCCACACCTGCAGAGCCTGCAGACCCGTACAACCAGCCAGATGCAGCAGCCCCACCTACTGCTCGAACAGCAGCGATTCCCCCTTTTCCCCTCCCACCCAATGAGCCATCCACTTCGGGAGGATCTCCATTCGATATGCCCACACTTCCCCCCACTTCGTCCAGCCCGCTTGCGACGTCAACAGAACCATCAACTACATCCACACAGCCTTCTGCAGTTACAACGGGCTCACATTCCAGCACGCCCACGTTGACACCTACTACATCTACACAGTCTTCTGCGGCTGCAGCAGGGTCACCTTCCAGTATGCCCACATTGACAACAACTTCATCTACTCTGTCTTCTGTGGCTATAGCAGATTCGACTTTCAGTCCCCCCACCCTGTCACCAGCTACATCCTCTCAGTCTACTACACCGGAGCCACGTTCAAGTACTTCCACCTCTTCACCAAGTACCTCGAAGTCGACTACGCCCACGCCACCAGCTTCGCCATCCACCTCGTCGCTCGAAGTCACCGCAGCCGGCTCCCCGGCTTTGCCCGGCTTCCCCGGTGCTGCTGTGGGCGCCATCGCTGGGGCCGGAGCGGCGGCCCTCGGAACGACGGAAGCTCCAGAGATCGAGGCGAACGTATCGAATGAGAGTTCCACCACACTGCTGCTGGAGTCTCAGGAGCAGGAGGCAATGGCGGGGAAAACCCAGGAGCAGAAGTTGGTGACTGAGTTGGAGCTGGAGGATGAGCAGGAAGAGGAACACTTCACCAGGGTGGATGTGGGATGTAGCTGGACCCTGATTGGGTCCCTCTTCTTCACCATGGTCATGCTTCTGAGATGGCGATCTAGAAGTGTGTGTTTTGCTTTGTGTTGTTTTTGCTCTGAAGGGTTCACCAATTTTCATGGAATCATGGATTAGGGCTTTACTGCCTAAAGCACAAGCCATTTACGCCTAGTATAATGATCACATCACATTTTTGTGGACTCTCGGACCTGTTGCCGCTGTCATCGCTCTTGCTGAGCTTTTGAGGTTCTACTTCGTGAATTACCCGGACGATGACATCAAGAGATACACCTGGTCGACAATCAATACAACCTTGTCACCTGCCTTGATGCAAAGAGATCACCTGATTGAATCTCATTTGGAGGTTTGACAGTCTGTGATCCTTTTGCAATAACACGTCAAAAATCCCCAATAATTCCAAACGCGCTGTCAAGGTTCTCGGTGGACCGCCATCAGAGACGTCCAGAGACAATTCCCATTTCCTGGATTCTGGATCAACCGTTAAGCGTTAACCCATCAACCTCTTCCTGAGATTCTGACATCCTTATCGGGAACAACATCCAAGACACAGCAGCCTAAGTCCGGAAACTTTAGGTCAATCTTTACGGCCGTTTTGGCTTTCAATGGCCTGGATCAGCTGATGGTCAACGCCACTTGGACTGAGCGAAGCAAGGGAAGCCGCCTTCGCTGGTACCTAGAAGTTTGTTTCCTGCGAGTCGGGTTTAAACAAATCGGGGTGGGCTCAGGTTGTTTCATAGGTCTCGGAGGGGTGCAAAGAACATTTCTCAGGATTGATGTTGCCATGCAGCTGATGTTCATGTTCATCTGGGGCCATGTGCTAAGCTGCAAATCTCCGCATTTCGCCCCAGGTTGTGGTGGCTCCAGTCCTGGGCGCATTTCCAGTGGGTTCTCAGGAGCTTGCTCGAGTCCTTGTTGGCTGCTTGGGCGAACAGGGTCGCAGGCGCACGTGCACGTGGTGGTGAGAGCTGGTCGTTTGGTCTGATCTTTGCATTCGCTTGCAGGATCTCGCAGGCTTGGACAGAACACCCCAGACGACTAGAACCTAAGACTGAGAACGGAGTCTTGTAGAAGGACGAAGTCTATGTTCAGGTTCTTTGCTATTTTGCGAAGGGCGTGCCTACTTGCTCTGGCATCCTTCAAGTGAATCTTAGGCTTCGTAGCCTTCCTCGCTTGGTATGGCATCGCGCTTACAGCCATCGCTTTGGCGGCTGGACTTATGAAGAGGGATGATGCGGAGCTGAAGAGTGCCGGGCCCAGGTTGTGGGTTGTGCATAGCGCTTTGACACATGCAGACAATTGATTTACATGCCATTGCCCCTTAAATCTTGGCCACTCACTTACCATGGAAGATGAAGGAAGATGACAGCAGAAAAAAAACAACAACAAGCAAGTTGCCTTTCCCCTCGCAGTGCTCATCATGTTCTGTCGAAAAATGCATAAAACAATTCCATATACAGTGAGTTCTTGACATCGTTGACCAGCCGCGCAATCATCGCTTCAAGGCCGAAGGACCTGGGTCATCACTGATTTCATGCGCGGAGACCATGGCACCGCGGTGAACGGGCATCAGCTGATCCAGAACGCGCGTTCCAAGGGCATCGCCGATGTGAGGGGCGTGGAGGCGCGAGGCACAGCGAAGTCCTCTACTTGGCACAGTGAAGTCCTCATGCTGGCACGTTCTAAACGCAAAGTTCGCCCCTTTTGTGTTTCGACGGTTCCTCTCCTAGCTGGGCCTGGGGTTGTTCAAAGACAGGCTATCCAAGAACAAGAAGACTTATAGTGGGTTCTTTTTTTTGTGTGCCAAACAATCAGGAGATATCAGGAGATACTGTAGTTGAAGGGATGGCAAATGGCAAGAGTTTGCTTTGAAATTTGGCATCTTTGGCTCAATGTGTTGCTCCTCATGTATGTCACATTTGTCCAGCAATATCTAGATTGAGCCCCAAGAAAAATCTGCGGTCAACCTTCTTTGCTCGTTTTGTCTTGGCTTCAGATCAGATCCGCACAGCTCAGGTGGCCATGAGATTTTCATGCCAAAAGATGCCAAAAGCATGTCCACCCTGGCAAGGCCTCAGGATTTCCCATGGTGATTGAATTTTGACCAGGTCTTTGTGGCGAGCCGTTCTTTGCATCAAGAAAACTATGAAACAAGGACTGCGCACTGGGCGCAGCGCGCTGGCGGTTGCAGTGTGAGGTAGGCCTTCGATCAACACAGCTGCTCACAGTTTTTCGGGTGATTTTAGCTCGTGAGACATGTTCCATTTCAAGTATCGGTGCGTGTGCCTTTCCTGTGCATGGACACAAGCACAGATGTACATCCCTTGCACTGCATCCAACGCGTATAGTCATTTGCTCTGTTCAGCGGCTGTTCTGTAAAAGAGACTAGGCAAACGAGATAATTGTAGCTCACCTCATGGTTGACAATACATGTGTGACCTGACTGAAGGCATTTGAAGGCCCGGGTCATCCTGGGTCCCAATCTCATGGCCACGTTGACCAAGGACCAAGTGCTGGTCAACACTTTTCGCACACATGACTGGATTCGCGATGATCAGTGCCTCCGTCAGCAGCTTCATCCTGCTCAACGCATGCCACGCCATTGAAGTGCATGGAATCTAACAGAGGGCCCTTGTATGAGATTGCAGGAAGCACATTGCTCGTGGGGTTGGAAATGAAATTCGGACTCGTCTTGCTCATTTGCCAAATGTCGTGTTTGCTTGAAGTCTTCACTGATTGAAAGGATCAAACCATGAGCACGCGGCCCATTATCGCAATCCCGGAACGAGACGGAAAAGACCAAGCTCCACATGGGAGCCCAAAACAACTTAGCACTTCCAATTGGCCTGCTAGTGGTGCACACTGTTGAGGACCTATCCCTCCTTCAATGTCCATACCACTCAAACAGCAAGTCTGCTGGGAGACCTTCTCCCGTCCAGGGTTGGTCCCATCTCTTGCGTGCCTCCCTGCCGCCCGGTCTGCTAGGCGCGGGAGGTGACCTGCAGAATTCTCCACCCTTTCTGACGGTGCCGATGAGCTGGCTGGCAGCCCCTCATCGGAATGGTCAGCGAGCCTGGTGGCCAAAGAGCAAAATAGCGAACCCAACGGTAGAAAGTGAACCTAACGGATTGCTGCATAAAAGGGTGCAGTTTGCTGGCCTTTGCAGGGTTTTATACCACGTGGGGGGCCGACCCTGTTGAGGGGATTTAGTTCGAGCATCCCCTAATTAGAGCGTTGTAGTATAGCAATGCATTGCCTGTGGTCCTTACAGTGCATGTGTGGTTGGCTATTTGAATTAAAGTTGTTTTTTCTGTGCTTTTCAGTCGAAGAGTTGATCCTGGCCTCTTGAGGTCCTCCTGTGCATCCTTTTCCTTGTGGGCGTCTTCAGCCCCACGGCTGGCATTGCAGCTAACGCTCCCAGACCCTCCGGTCCTCGAAAGAGCAGCATATCCAGAAAGTCAGACCTGTTTCTGTATTTTCACTCCATGTAATATGTACATTCTGTACCTTGCACATAGTAGGATGTCATGTCACCTTTACTTTGCAGCTCGCGGCCCAAAACAGGAGTTGCAGCTTAACGGCTGTTTCTATAGGTTATCAGCCGTAGTGCTCTAACCACAGCCATGGACGCTCTTGCTATTCCTGGGAACGGTACATCATCGGTAGCAGTCCCAGCCGGTCTCACGACTGAGCCCACGGTGGATCTAGATGACCCCATGGGTTCAGCTCCTGTCACAGCTTACTTTCAGTTTGTGCAGCAAAACATCCAACAAGTGTACAACGGAAATGAAGATGCTATCATTGCTGAGGCAGAGAGAAGGCACAAAGAGATAATGGGACAATGGTTGGAAATGGTAAAAACCAAGTTTCGTCAAGCAATCGATGAAGTAGCGAGCAAGCATCATGAGGAACTCAGTTCGATAAGGCAGCAAGCTCAATCTAGCTACAACCAAGTGCAAGGGGAACTTAGCGCTGCAAAAGCGCGGATCCTAAAGCTAGAGAGTGAAAGGTCCATTGAGGCTGAAGCCAGAAAAGCAGAACTGGACTCCTTGCGCATCCAGCTCATGCACGGTTGTCAGCAAACTGTCACTGCCATCACCAGCGGTGCCGAGCAAGGTGTGGCAACGCTTCGTGCAGAGTTCGATGAGCGGGAAACTCAGCTTCGACGTGAGCTACGCGACGCAGAAAATGAAAACTATAGCCTGCAGCAAATGCTCGATGACCTTAAAGCCAAAATGCATGCTGGACCCGAGCTAGAGTACCATCCAACAAGTGTCATGAATACACCAGTGTCTACCCCTAGGCATGATGACACTAAGAGGAAAAATCCTCTGGAGACCATTGCAGCAGAGGCTACTGCACGTTTGAGTGGACTGTTCGCACCCAAAGCGCCGACGGCCACCATCATCGGTGATGCCCCACCAGGGGCAGCTGCTCCTATCAAGCCCGTGCTTCCAGTTTACGGAGGCACAGCAGCGGATGGGGGCAAAACACCGACAAATATGTTCCATAGCCCTGCACCTTCAATTCGCGAACCCCATAAGCCAGCGTCATCAGGAGCCATCACCTCTGAGCAGGTGATCGAATTGGTCAAGTCACTCACTCAAAGAGAGTCAGATGAGAAACCAAAGGTAAAGGAGGCAGATCACATCAAGTTGAATGACATGCCAACCCCTGAAACCTATCGGCAGTGGAAACATCATGTGAGGGACGAAATCAAGTCATTTTCTGACAAACCAGATGCCGCCTGGGACTGGTTAATGGAGGTTTACAACACTGTTGATGAGAGAAAAGTTCTGGAAGAGCGGTTGTCTAACCCTGGGAAGTTCACAACGTTGGATACCAAGTTGGCAGCTGCGCTGACCAGAAGTGCAAAGGGTGATCTAGCAAACCGAATCATCAATTACAAAGAAGAGAAGGCAAAGCTAGGCATCCAGGTTCGAGGTAGGATGATTCTTCTCATGTTCGATGACTATTTCAAGACCTCGGAAGAAGCGGGTAGTCTCTATAGGGTTGAAGATCTCCTCAATGTGGTAAAGGTAGGCGATACGGTAGCGGACTTGAAGCGTTTCATCAACCGCTGGGACGCTACCATCGCTGGTATGCCCGAACCACCGCATGAAAACGTGCTCCGAGACATCCTTTTAAGGCAGATCCGCACTAGCACAATCCTGAGGTACGACATTGATCTCTTCGATCGTGCAAAAGAAGGTGACCACCATCGGTCCTACAAGTTTCTACTGCAAAGCATCAAGGATCTGATCGATCGGGAACGCCTTCGTGAGAATCGATCACGTATCGCGGAGCGAAATCGGCTAAAGCCAGGTGATCGACACGAGAAGAACGCAGCCCCTACTGTTGATCCTCGGCGAAAGCGTTCGCCATCGCGCGGACGATCCGCTTCTCGGGAGAAGGGTATTTGTTGGGCCTTTTTGGAGGGAAAGTGTGCAAAAGGGAAAGATTGCAAGTTCAAGCATGAAAAGCCCAAGCGTGATCCTTCCAAGAAGCGCCAACCATCCCGGGAGCGGAGTGAGTCGAGGGACAAAAGCACAGACAAGGAGAAGAAGCGGATGACTAAGGAAGAGATGGCGAAGACCCCATGCAGGTACGATCAACAAGGTACATGCAGAAGAGGAGACAAGTGCCTTTTCAAACATGGAGAAAAGGCAGCGCCGGCTCCGAAAACGAAGCCAAGGAAGGACTCCCCAAAGCCAAAGGCAAAAGGAGATACCAAGAAGGCTGCCATTTGCCTGAGCAATCGGTTTGCATGTCTTGCGACTGGTGTGCCCGGACGGTCATGTCTCAAGAAGTCCTGTCTTCCTCCAGCGAGAAAGAGGTCTAAGTCGTCTGTCCGAAGAACTACATTCGTTATGAAACCTGAAATTCGCACCATCCCTGCTCGCGGGGAACATTGCAAGATGGTCAAGCGTGAGCGCAAGTACAGTGTGCATTTTGCCACGAGCGATCGCGTGCCCAAGAGCGACCCAAAGGCAGCCCACATGGCCAAAGTAAAAGCTAGGCAGTTGGCTGAAGTTGTTCGAAGCTTTGATAGCGCAACAGTGCCCTCATGTCGTTTCCTGTGCATCGAATCGTCACTTACTTGTCGTGAGTGTCGAAGCTTGATCAAGTTGAAAACATGTCCTACTACCATCCCGACAATAGTTGCTGGTCCAGCACCAAGGGAAGGCAGGTTCTCATGGCTCGTCGATTCCGGGAGTGAGCAAGACCTCCTCAGCAGAAAAGTTATGGATGCTGCTGGTGCGGAGAACCCAAGACGGGCTCCTCACACCATCAGTCTGATTACTGCAAACGGGTCGACCGAAGCCAGCGAGGTAGCTGATGTCAAGATGAAGCAGCTGCTGGAGCCTTGCACGCCGTATTTGCTGGATGAATGCCCGGCTGTGCTCTCAGTTGGCATCAAATGCCTTGACCAAGGGTATAGTTTCGTGTGGCCAGCAAACGGTACTCCGATCCTTGTGCGACCAGATGAGAAAATCGTTCAACTTCGTGTTGATGGTCATGTCCCAGTCCTCGACTCCGAGTGCAAAGTCTTTGGAAAGGGCAAGTTCAAGAAGGATAAGCCTCTGAAGAAGCTGTTTGCTATGCCGGGAGCAATCTCGAGCCCATCGGATAAGAAAGAGGATGAGGGCATTGACGAGGAAGTGCCAGACGACGAAGAGAGCCGTTTGGTGCGATCAAGAAAAGTTGGAGACTTGATGCGTGAAGCGCAGTCCGCAAAACACCAGTATCACCACTTCCCCAAGAACCCATTCTGCAAAGTGT